CGAAAATTCTCTAAAGGCCTGGCACATTGGCCATCTTGGTTGCTTCTGCAAACTTCTTTTTAATACGCTTTTATTAAGTTTCACCTGTATGTTTGTTTGTTTGTAACTGACTCTTTGGGCTCGATTTTGCCCTACTTTAAGCGATCAGATTTAATTTAAACGTTGTAGACTTATCAAGGACCGACGACACTAAAATATTTTGATAAGTTTATTATCTCATCATGATTAGGATCGCCAGGATTAGAGATTTTATTTTAACTTATTAAGAGAAATTTAACCCATGTAGAATGAAAGTACCTAAGACATTCAAACCTACGTGGGACAGTGGAACAACGGATCAGAAGATTCCCTGTTCGAATCCTGGCTGGCTCGACCTATTCGCATTTAGCCTTTGTTTTACTCACACTTAAATTATTGTAAGAACTATAGCTGCAGTCCTCCGTACCGGGACCTCATTTAAATATTATAGTTTAAAAACACGCTTTTAGAGTTAATCAAACTAAAAAGTAAAAAATAATGGTTAACATAAGAATAAAATGACTGACGAGAAAATGAATGTCACTGTTCTAAAAGCGTGGGGTGCTTTGTATGACGTTTTTAAACTAACTCTGCATTTCGGAATGAAACTAGTGAAAAATTATAACGATTGATATCGAGCACCCCACGCTTTTAGAACAGTGACATTCATTTTCTCGTCAGTCATTTTATTCTTATGTTAACAATTATTTTTTACTTTGATTAATTCTAAAAGCGTGTTTTTTAGTTTTTTTAAATTATTAATTTATTCCATGGGACTATTTCACTTCCCTCCTCCTGTAAAAGTACTTCAGTCTTATTCTATGAGTAAAGAAAAGCCTTTTGCTTGCTGAGGAATTTGAGAATTTATGGTCAAGTTGGGGATTTATGGACGGCCATCTGCATTCGTGAATTCTTCTTGTTCTGGTTGTGACATTTTTTATGACTCTACTTTCCCCGTTAAGACCCCCCCCTCCATGTTTCTCTCCGATCATCTCCGTTTTGACAGCGAGAAACAAGCCACCTTATCTCTGGTTGTGAGTGACAGCTGGTCGTAAATGGACACCCCCTTCTTTGATGTGCGGAAGAAACCGACTTTTGCCGGTGGGATCGTCCCTTATACGCTTTCATCTGGGGGCTTTCACTGAAAGTCAATAAACAAAACGATCTCCACTCTGAGATTGGTCCAAGAAGAAAAGTATTTTCGTAAAAGAGCCAGTTTTAACCCCCAGGGATTACTATTATCCCTTGGAATAGTCAAACTAAATATTTAGGAGTTATTCTGGATCAGCATTTAACTTGGAAACAACATTTTCTGCACACCAAAACTAAATTTCGTATTGCCTTCAGAAAACTCTACCCACTTATAAATAGAAATTCTACCATGACCAGAGATAACAAAATTCTTCTTTATACGACTATGCTTCGCCCCATTCTCACATACGCTTGCCCGGTCTGGTCCTATGCAGCTAAATCTAATATAAAAACACTTGAAACGTTACAAAATATCACTATTCGCCAAATTACCACTGCTAAATGGTTCATGCGCAATTCTGATATCTATAAAGCTATTAACATTCCTTCCTTAAAAGATTTTCTTAAATACATCTCTGCTAAATTTTTTGACACGCTTGTTAATCATGAAAATACTGCAATCCAGAATGACTCTTGCGCTCCCAATAATGATTTAAAACGTCCGCGCAAAATTTTAGTTTAATTTCTATTTTTATTTTTATTTGTTTATGATTGTTAATTAAATTTTTATTATTATATTTATAAATATATTCTGGGCAATTTTCATTGTTTCAACTGTATTTACGATACATACAACACTTATATATATGTCCTATAGGCGATGGAGCCCCCAGGGGCTGCATAGCTCCAAGAGAATTCATCAAGCATTAACCCCCAGGGCAGGAGTTTCCTATTAGGCTAACTAGGTTTCAGCCCAGGGCCTCAAGATCAAGAGGTGCCTACATTCAAATTGTTAGCAAAATTAGAATTACACTATTCTAAAAACAATAAAACAGAAATACTGAATCGGAAATAAGGAGAAATTCTACACATATGACTCATAAACAAACATATAAATGTATGGGTTAAGATCAACGCGTTCGGCTCATTGGGTCTGTTCGTTTGTATAGACTAGGTTGCACCAAAGTAGAGTTCATACGTTCACTGATTGTTATGGCAAATATTGATGTGCCTCATGCTACTAAGCTCTGGTTTGTTCTTGCATAAATAAAGTGCAGATTGGAACAAACAAACGAACAGACCTACTGATATCCCGACGTTTGGTTATATTCTAATTACTTCGATAATATGAAATACGCGTCAATGTTATTATAAAAGATTCTTATTTTAGGATTGCGTACACGATCATTTGATTCTCGCCTTTTGAGTTTTTTTTCAGTTTAATAGTCACTAATTGTATTGGGGAAAGGTCATTTTGAAGACTTAAAAATAACAAAAATCAATTAAAAAGCACAATGACCCAGAGGAGGTTGTTCTTCATTAAGTATTTTGTGCATCGAAAATGAAACCTTCAGAAAAATAGATTTTGATTAAATAATATAAGAATTCTGGGTGAAAAAGTTTAGAAAGAAATTATTCTAATCTACTATTTATGATATATAATTTGATATTTTCTTTTTTGTGATCTGGATTTTGTTTGAATAAAGTTCCATTTTTGGTTTAGTTTAAAACTTAAAATTCATAATAATTCATACTTAAAATTTAAATGCGAATTATTATGAAATAAATTTATCTGAATTGAATTTGCTTTAATCTTTAATGTATTGAATTTAATTTGATATAAAATATGATAATTTTTATTGCATATTTTATTTTCGTAGTACAAGATTTTTATTATTTGAATTTTGTTTCTTTGTAAATGGTGTGTGTTATGATTAGTTATTGTTACAAGTACTATATAGGATGCTGAGAATAAATGTCCAAATAAGTGTTCTCGACTTTTTTTTTATTTATTTATTATCCGTGTCTCATTTTTTATAAAGTACCAATCACAGCATGTTCAATTAACATATTGATAAGATATCACAGTAATGATGTATTATCTCTCCTGTATTTTACAAACTTAAAAATGGGAGGTGACAGGGCCTCATAAGTGGAATAGCCTAGGGCCTTTTTCATCTAAATCCGGCCCTGGGGGTGTGGCAAAGACAGATTTCGTCTTTTAGATCATGACGTAATCGTCAATCTAGAATCCCTGCCCTCCATTTTTTTTTTTTCTTTTAACATTATTTGCGACTTTGAACAGACACTGAACTGATTCAGCAAAAATGCTCCTAAAGTGTCTCCCTCCTCCTCTTTCCGATCGTGGAGTAATCGCCAGTTTTTCCACAACTCCACATTTTTTTTTTTTTTTTTTTTTTTTTTTGCAGCATTTTCTCTGAATTTCAACTGATTAGAGATTATTCAACAAAAATTATTCCGAGGAGTCTCCAAGCGTTGCCTGGGCTCAGTGGGCGGGCCTCTTATGCAGATTACTACATTACAATGTCTCACAAAAGCGCCAAGTGGGTGGTCTTCCGTGGCTCCTCCTTTTTCTTTTCCTCTTGATATCATTTCTTTCCTAGTACTGTTGCGATTTCATGTTTTTTAATTTAAGAAAAAAATACAATTCATTAAGTATAGAAGGCGATCAATGCATACTATGAAAGCTTTAGATCATAATTAACGGAAATATTTATTCATTTGATTTAAATTTTAGGCTTGATGATCTAGTACTTCAGTTCTTAATCAGGATTAATTTAATTTTTAATAATTAAGTTTATACTATATTTAGTAATTTTTTTTTATATTTATTATTATTATTATTTTATCTAAGTATTTTACTCCGTCATTCAAAGTTAATAGTTTCAAAAAAAAAAAAAAAAAAAAAAAAAAATCTTTACCAATCATGAGATTTTGTAAAGAAAATCGATGTATGATAAGACAGGCCACTAGAAAGGTAACGTAGTTACATACAGAATGCGGTCTGTGCATCCCTGCTGTATATGAATATTCAGATAATTTTATTTTTAAGTATATTTCATAATGAATGCATTATGAAGGCGATTATATTTTTTCCAAAAATATATTTTAAGTAAATGATGATAATAAAAATTTTTTAAGAAAGTTTAGTTTGTCACTCTACTGTCGTATTATTATCATTTGCACACTTTGGGACAATCAGAAAAGATCAACTTAGAATCCGAATCACTAACAAACCTCCATGCCACCGCCAGTATTCGAACCTGAAGCACCCAAGTACAGTGTGCTAGCCAATTGGTCATCACGCCGCTTACGAAAGTTTAGGAGGCAGTGAGTTATATATTGATTTACTTATGTATTCACGCACTTGTAATTAATAAATTTATCTGTGTATTTTATAAACTTTTAATACTAAAACATTTTTTAACGATTTTTTTATGGAATTTATATTATATCATTAAAGGTCTTGATTCCTTTCAAAACAAATTGCTTTAGTGGATTTGGCAATTTGGAGTTAGATACACTCAAATCGCAAATAACTAGAACTATATCTTATTAACTGAAGAGATGAATTTCTTATAACGTTTGTTTTTTTGTCAACAAGTGGTGAAATAGAATTATCAATTATATCTATAAATAAAGAAAGAAAACTACACATATCTCTTCTCAATTATTTATATTTCAACAATTTATATTCTGTTTCTTTTAGAATCCAATGTAACAGTGTTGTTATTTCTTATCCCACTTGGCTGGCCAAGCCCACGAGCCCATACGTGCTCATGGTTGAAGGGGAAGGAAGCAGCTTCTGTTGTGATGGAGCACCCGTAGGTAGAAGCCTGACTTTTGCTCCGTGACGCTCTTACAGTCATAGGAGACTGGGACCTACGGCTTAAAGTGGATTCCGAACCACTACAAACATCCATGGCATTTCGAACGAAACCTGTGGCACCGAGCGCTAGACACTCGGCCATTCAGGTCCCAAATTTGCCAACGGCACGCGGTGTTCCCAGGTGGTCACCCACCCAAGTACTGACCGCGCCCAATGATGCTTGACTTCGGTGATCTAACAGTGAAAGGCAATATGTATCGCTAATTATCGCGAAATAAAAAAAAAAAAAATTACTTTGAACAAGTCGTAGAATAATTGTAAATCATTAAATTTGTATTAATTGCATTTTTTTAAATATAAGAACAATATTTAAAATTCAACAAAAGGTGAAGCTCTACCAAAAGTTCAATAAACCACAAAAGCTTCAATGAACTTAACATGCTGTTGTCCGAAACTGTTTGCCATTCTTTATTTATTTACCATCAATCAGTTTAATTGTATAAAAAATGAATAAGACAATACTACCTCGCATTTAAACTTTTTATTATAATGAATCAATAAAGAAAGATAGTTAAATTTAATTTTTTTTTTATTTGGATTATTTTTAATATTGCTATTTTCCCATATGAAATTTTGGAATTATAACTCGATTCTCTAATTTGCAATTTTTATGAATTATTTTTTTTCGTTCACCTACAAACGACAAGTTTGTTAAGAAACAAAAAACAATGTTCAACAAAATGCTGTATTTTTCCAGGATAGTCAACTACAAAACAATATAACCTGAGATGTTCCTTGTTCACGAATAGTAAAATATAAACGCTTTAACGATTTCTTAAAACCAGAAAATTTTTGGAAGAATAATTTCCACTTTTATGTCATATTTAACAAACACCGAAAAAGAATCGTTCATAAAGCAGAATTGTTTATCTATCCGAAATCAGTTTATCTATCAAGATCAAGATCTATTTTGTAAAATAGATTAAGAAAAAAATTAAACTTTTTATTTCTTTTCATTTTATTTTTCGTAAAATGAAATCATAAATGCATCAAAGTTTTAAAAAAACTGTTTGCAGAAAAAGGTTCCTTCAATTTTGTTCTGATAGTCAACTTTTATTTGTTGCTGAATCGTTTCGAAATAAAATTATTTTTAAAATAGTGTCTCCAAGTGATTGTGGACACGATCAAAGATTACGAGTGACGTTTGCCGGTGTCACTTTTAACAATTAATGTAAAAATTTTTATGTTCTGTACATCACGAACTGTGATGTTCCTACGTTGCTCCAAAAAGTTTTTTATTCTTGTTTGTTTTATCTTCGTTCATACTAGATATGTATTATCACCCCTGCAAACTTTTCGATATATATATATATTGATCTAACGATAGCATACATGATATTTCTATCGTAAAACTATTACTTAATGCCAAAAATTATTTCATTTTCTTTCTTCAAGGTTTTTTTTTTAAATAAAGTGAAAAAATTGCGATACAATGACTTCTGGAATTTCGCATTCTTCTTCCAATCAGCTAACATCCTATTAAAAACAAATTCTATTTCATCACTGTCACAGTGATGGTGTGCATCGAGTCGGCCATTTGAAAAAGGGACCGAGCAGCGATATAAAGCAGAAAGGACCGTATAGTCGTGAAGAATAAAAACCGCAAACGGCCTCACGCTGTTCTGAACATTACTCAATAGCATTGATATCCTCCTTTCTGGATCACCACGCAGCTGCTCCAATGATTAGCTCTTCTTCCCACTGATTAGATTTGTTTACTGCAAAGGCCGCACTCTACACCTCTTTTTTCCCCTCCATCCTGCTGCTGCTTGAATAGTCGAAACGTTTTCGTTCCCCCCCAGGCTCTGCTCTTTTCATCGCTCACTTGCAAGTGACCTTGTACGATTCGTAGATTTTCCCACTCGGCTCAATTCACTTTATGCTACGTTGTGCATCTTAACGACTAGTGAATAGTTAGGTTTTTATTGTACGCTTTTTAGCCCTTTTTTTTGTTAGGAAAATAAAAGGATGGAATAAAACCAATAAAATAAAAATAAAAATTATAAAACCGAAAATTTATAAAAATACAGTCTTGATTATGGCCTTTTTTTTGTGTGGATAATTTGTTTACTTTGCAGCATCATTCTTCAAATGGCTCTCACCGTACAGCATAATTCCCTGTTGTACTTGTGTTATTCAAAAGAGCTCATACTCTGTTTACTTTTTTTTTTTTTCAATATTTCGGCATCGACAACTGGTCCCTAATTGTACTGAATTTTTAAGTTTAACTTTAATTTCTTTTATTTTGTATTTTACTTTTATTATTAGTATTTTTATCTTTTTTTTTTTAAGTACCATTTAACTTGAATTTCTTAGAATCTTTATCTTGTATTTCCACTAACCTTAATTAAGCAGCCAATTAAAATTCAAAGCATATTTATGAATTAATATGAGGGGTATTTCCCCCTGCTGGTACTCGTAATCGGTACGCCAGTTGCCAGCCAGATTTTCCCCGTCATTACCATTTCATTCTCTCTTAACAAACTGCTCTGAAACGTTTTTGTAATTTTTAACTTGCTCACCTTTTTGAATTGATTAACCTTTTGAAAGTATTTTTATTTTTATTATTTAAGTTCTCTTCCAAACTATGTTCAGTTTGTAATTCTTCAAATTCCTTTTTTATTTTAATTATTAAATTATAATTTATATTTATTAAATACTTTCTTGAAAAAAAAAAAACTCTTCTCCATATATTATTATATCTATATTAAGTGTTTATTTCTAACGCAATGGGCTTAAAGCTAAAGTAACTACCATTTCATATGCAAAGAAGGAGCTAACGGTTACCTAGCAACCAAGGAGCTCCGTCAACCTGCAAATCGTCGTTCTAGTCGTGAAGAATGGACTCTCAAAAAAGACCTAGAGCAATTCTCACTCAAGAATTCGACTCCTTCCCCGGGGTCACACGACGGAGGGTCCATTAGATTGCTTGCGGGGCATTCTGCGTTTTGAATTTGAGTTGCTAAAAATAGATCTGAAAAGCGACCGATGGGGAGCCATTTCCTCCCTACCCATGCTACGTTGTGCAAATACCACTGAAAATAAACCTGTTGTCACCAAATGCCGTTCTCTTCGTTCTTACTGCATAGCTGGCAAATGTTATTTAATTTCTTAAATTAAATAACATTTGCTAGCTAATCTCTTCAATTTTATCATTTTATTAGTATTATTTAAATTTAATTACTTAATATTTTAATAATATTTTTATTTTTCCAGTAAAGTTTAAATAATTTAATTTTTCTCTAGTACTTTTATGATGGCATGTGCAATGGACCCCTCATTATTTCTTCGTACCTAATTAAATTTAAATTTAAATTTTAAATTCTTAAAATGCTAAAATTAATGTTTTCTTTTTATTAATAACTCTAACACTTATTATAACTCTAGTACTTATTGCAATGTTGTAATTAAGTGTTTTCTTTTAAACTTAAATTAATTATTAACTTCTAGTGCTGCATTTATATTTTTATTCCTTAACTTTTACTTTTAAGATATGAAGTTCTAGTGATAGTTTTGTTGCAAAGATGCTCCTTGAAGAAATGACCGTTGCTTGTAGGCGAACAAACAAATAATTTATAAAAATTGCAAATTAGAGAATCGAGTTACAATTAAAAACTCCATATGTGAAAATAACAATAAGTATTAGAAATAATCCAAATAAAAAGTAAGCATTAAATAACTTTCTATATTGATTCATTGTAATAAAAATTTTAAATGCCAGATAGTATTGTCTTATTCATTTTTTATACAATTAAACTGATTGATGGTAAATAAATAATGGCAAACAGTTTAAAAAAAACTGCGTGTTTAAATAAATGAATAAAATTAGAATTTTCTAAATATAATTCATATTTAATTTTTAATGACCATTTTTTTTTTCTGATTATGAAATTATGCAATACACAATGGTAAAAAAAATGTAAAAAAGATGTACTTGTATCTTGAAAGATATGTTTCAGCAGCCTTAAATTTCTGAATAAAGTATTTCAAATTATTTAATTCTAAAAAAATTACAGTCGAACCTAAGAATGAGTAAACAATAAAAAATTTTTTTCTGCAATATATGTTAGAAAGAATGGGCCCCGAATGACTAGCTCTATGGCGCTCGATACCACAGGTTTCGGGTTCGAGTTCCAGCGGTGACATGGATGTTTGTAGTGGTGGGTATTGTTACTCCGCTTCCGTAGCTTATCTTAAACCTACGTGCACCTCCTGGGTAGTGCTAAGTGAGTAACGTCGGTGCAGCGGTTGCATGAAAGACAACTGTCTAAGTGTTTGCCAGCTGCATTAGAAAAAAAAATGTTAGAAAGAATGCGAAAATTCTAAGCGCAAATAACAATAATTTCACAGGGTGCCTTTTATGCTATGTTTTTCTATATACATTTGGGTTTATTAAAAGAAAGTCTATAAACAATAAATTTCTCAGGTATATAAAGTAAGAAAAAGCTTTATTGTAAGATTTATGATTCGTTGAAAAAAATTCACGTTTTTATTTGAACTAACTTATTTGAAATTTTAGAGTTTGAATTAGAATTTATTATTATTGAATACAGCATCAACATTTAGTGAAAATTTAAAAATTCAATTTTATTTCTATTAGTTTGTTGTAGTTTATTATTATTTTTTTTAAAGTTATCTTTTAAAATATATTTAAAAGGATATCATAAGTTACATAAATATCTCAATTTTTTCTTACCTAGTTGAAGGATTTTTTCCGATGGCTATACCAAGATTTTTCTTTTTTAATAAATGAGCTAAATTACTAAGCAAGGCATATTTCCAATGTGGTCGTGTCACATTGTCTCGTTCTATGAATATCTTTATATCTCATTTCTTGTACTTCAAAAGTTATTACGAAGTAATTAACGATATAGATACATTTTTATTTTAATCTTCGCATTTTAAAGTGCAGAAATACTTGTTATAAAAGTTTATCCACCTCAAACGGATACAGAAGCACTCTGACAGTCCTTTTCCGAGACATTTACTGGGTCTTTTCATAACGTTAAAATATTTATGTGTCAAAACTTGATGAATGTTGTCGCTGAACTCAGCGGGAAGTGAGACAAGGGCCAGATTTGACCATACTGAACTAAACAACGTTATTTTTTTAAAAATTTTTAAAATATTCAAAGTGAAATAATTGCCGTATGTGAGGGCTACACGAGAGTCGCAACTC